TGTGGTAAGCCTAGCCACTGGAGGAAACACTGCAAGGCTTTCCTCGCAAGCAAGAAGAAGTCAGAGGCTATGACTTCAGGTATTTTTATGATTGAGATTAATTTCTCTCCCTCAACATCTTGGGTCATTGACACAGGATGTGGTACTCACATTTGTACTGATGTGCAGGGACTAAGGCAAAGTAGAGTGCTCGCCAAGGGAGAGGTGGACCTACGAGTTGGAAATGGAGCACATGCGGCTGCATTGGCTGTAGGGACTTATTGTTTATCTTTAATTAAATAGAGAAAATAAGGCAGTACATAAAGTTGGTTGGTTTTTATTACTCACCCTTTGGGAGATGAGAAAGTATTAAACGTCCCCATGGTTTTTGAAAAGTATTATATATTCTCATATAGGAGGGGTTTGATACTTTTTACTATTTAGGCCTAGTTAAGGGTAAACCCAAATCAAAGCTAATGTTAATTTAAAAATAATCAATTATTTATTAAACTAACAATCAAAGTTGGGTAAACCCATTTGAAAACTGATTTTGATAAATGATTATTTTAAATATGATTTTGAAATATTATATTTTATGAACAATAATATTTTGCTTACAATTGAGTCATATAAACAGACAAAAATTGCACAAAATTTATGTACAATGACTCTATCCTTTGTTTTTTGTCTGTTTGTATGACTCAGTTGTACAATTTAGTTATAAGTATAACATTGCTCTTTTATCAAAGATGTTAAAAAATATATTAAAGTAGTTTCTTAAATCAAAAGTTGTTTATATAAGTGTGTGTAGGAACCATGTCATGGCAAGCACAGAACTACAACAAAAATCTTCTTGCCATGGCACAATCCCGTTACCCAGATCAAGACTTCGACTCAATAATCAACATATAAATTTAACCCATACAAGGTTATGTGATTTACCTTCATTGGTGGCTCCTCCTCTGGATCTTTCAAACAAGTCGCTATCAATCCAACATAGGATTGAGTCCATCAGTATCTACACGAAGTTAGGTTAGTAAATCGATGAGCAGAGGCAGCAAAAAAATAAAAATTTTGCCCATTGATTACTCTGATTTCGCCAAGATCAGGGTCTGATATACATATATTTTACATGCTTAAATTGAAATAATAAAGATCTATACAAGGATTAGATTATACCAGCATTTGAAGGCTCCGTTAATATCTCTGAATGCAATTTCGCTACCGATTCGAGAATAGAATCGAACTCACGTCATCCACACGAAGACAGTACGTCAGAGACTAGAATTGATTTTGCTATAATCAATTCTTGGCTTTAAAAATGGTATTTGGATGATAGAGTGAAGAGAAGAAGAGAGAAATTTTCTCTCTAAAGCTCACACACGACAGCCAAATGAAAATTGTGTATAAACCTAAATTTTGCTTCCTTTAAATAACAAGCAAAATTTCCATTCCACCCCCAAAGTTTAGCAACAACCCAAACTTATGTGGAATCGCATATTGGTCCCTATTTAATTATTTAGTTAAGTATTAATATTAACTTCAATAATTAAATTTGTAATTTTGCTAAATTACTCCAATAATAAAATTGGAGACAAGCTACAACCTCAATAAATTTAATTACACAGCAAAATGACCAATATGCCTATTCGTCTAAAAGATGAATATGCCCTTCCAAAATTTACCATCCTTAAACTGTCTTCTAAGTGTGTGACATGTAAGCTCCTCATCATATCGGTAGTGAATAGTATCGCGATTGACACCAATCAATCATCTCGCTACACACAAACCAAGATTGACCCCTAGCAAGGTATCATGGCCAGCCAATAGATTCAGATTTAGTGAAACAACTACCTATCAATGGTATGGTTATCGTGTAATCAAATCCTTTCATCATCTATTATCTCATCCAGGTTAAGGTACAGAAATGGTCAACCTCAGTTATCCTCGATACCTTTATATTCAGTTACTAGACCAATGACCGGAATAATAAATTGGATTGGGCAACAACTCAATCCCATTGTGGCCCCAACTTTAGTGTCATTGCCATTTAATGAATTGCGCCATGAATAACTTCTCCCGTACCCAGGAGTGATGAATCCTTAGTCGATCCACCATAGTCTTAATACACTCCTCAATGTAGTCAATCACTACTGCATTGATAGCTCTAAATAGAACTATGTTAGGCTAGTATCAAACTACACTATTATTGCACAAGGCACTTTGGTAATCTCAAGTCTAAGGATCATATGCTTCACAGTTCGTTAGAAGATTTGTTCCATAGACACTGGAGTTACCATCTATATGGAATCCTCTACTGGGTCAGTCTAGTGAACTTGCCTACAGCAAGCACCCATGTGTTACACCAGGTTGTCGACAAACAACCTTAACAAGTGAGATTAGTCACTACCTTTCGACAGGGTCGTTCAACACTATGATAAGTGTCCTTGGTTAGAATAATATTAAGGCGACATTTCTAGAATGGCCACCATATATGATCATAAGGTTCTCAGTATAAACATTTGAAAGACTTGATACCCTCATCACAGTTCTACCATCCTAAGGACATGTATCAATACATACAATTATGATTTACATGATATAGTAGAAAACGTCTTTTATTGATTAATAAACATTATTACAAAGAGTCAATTCTACAATAATTGATTGGCTTTAGGGCACCTACTCCAATATGGTAGGCTCGACATCACCCTAGGATTGACTAGTAGATCAGTCAGAGGGCTTAAGGGAGGTAGTAGATTAGAGAGAGAAAATTCCTTTCTCTAGGGTTGGCGGCTAGGGTTTTTTGGAGTGTTAATTTTGCTCTCTTTTGCAGCTTTATGATTATTAGCTCTCTTAAAATAAACACAATGCCCCTTTATATAGACAATCACAAATAAGAGTCCAATGAGGATTGTATATCCTTAATTCCTATTCGGATTGGACTACAATCCTTATTTGAATTGGATTGTAATCCTTGATATAAGGGAATATAATATCTCTTAAAGATATTCTCTTAATTAAATTAATATTCCTGTTTATTTAATTATATAAATACATATTCTAATTAAATAAATATTACTATTTATTTAATCCATATATAGTTATATATATATTTATCATATTTAATATATGAGTTTTAATATATATTTAATTAAATTAAATATATATATATATATATATTCTCCATATTAATTAAAATTAATATGATTCCAATTTTGCTAAAAATTCTCCCAATAAATTGGATAATGGTGTCAACCCCTTAGCAAAATTACCAAACTGCCCTTTTCGAATATAATGACGAAAATGCCCTTGGACTCCCAAATTATCGAAATACCCTTTTCAGCCCAAGGACAAAATTGTCCTTCTATTTCTGTTTCTTAGTTAACTACCTTCTATGTGTGTGACCTGGAGGCTCTTTATTTTGTCGACAGTGTCTCGCTAACTAATTAACCATCAAGCAATTCGTGTTTTCGTACACCAATCAAAATTGATCTCTAGCAAGGCATCATGATTCCTCGGTAAGTAAAGGATCAGCAATTTAGGCTTACCTTGTCTTAGGTATGGTTATCATGCAATTCAATCTGTTTCATTATTTTTTATCTCATCAAGGTTTGAGGTACATAAATAGTGTGTACCTCAAAAGCTACCTTGCCATGTTCTAGATTTCGTTATTGAATCTGATGACTATTAGATTCGAGTACCAAATATCTCGCCAAGATATGCCTGTAACTAGGAGTGATGAATCATTTGTTGATCCACCATAGCCATAGTATACTTCTCGATGTAACCAATCACCACTATTTTGGTAATCCTTAAAAGAGACGACGTTAGGCTAGTGTCAAATTACATCGATATTTATACATGATGCTCTGGTGATCTCAAGTCGAAGAACTACATGCACTACCATCCGTAAGAGGATATATTCCATAGACACTGGGTTTGCCATCTCGTGTGGAATCCTCTGATGGGTCAGTCTAGTGTACTTACACAAGCAAGCACCTATGCGTTACACCACGTTGATGCCCACAACCTTGACATGTGAGATCTGTCACTACCTTCGATAGAGTTGTTCAACGTGATGATAGTCTTTTCGTATAACTTGTGTCCTTGGTCAGATTTATACTATGACTACGTACGGTTTAAGAAGGGTCACCTTGTGCTCATAGAGTTCTCACAATTAAGATTTATAACACTTAATTCCCTCATCACTAGTTCCAACCTTTCTAAGGACATATACTATTTTCTTTATGTGCAGTAAATAAATATTGTAATATATGCTCATAAATAAGCGATACCTTTTATTCATTAATTTGAAATGAGTATACAAGAGCTAAATCGTTGGCTCTAGTGCATCTAATCTAACCGTGTGAATTACCAAAATACACTAAACATTAATACAAATTACAAAATAATTTAATATAATGAAAATATAAAAATACATATATTAAGATGCAAATTACCAAAAATCTTCAAGTGTAGATTTGTTTACAAATTTATGTGGTGCGTGCACAAGTTCTCATTTGTTTTCTTTACATGATTTTAGATTTTGCAGGTTCATTCATCACATGTGTTGCATTTCAATGAGGCCCATTGAACCATTAATGATATGTTTGAATTCTTAGACCCAAAGCCGAAATCGAGCAAAATTTTGGGCAAAAATGAAAGAAAAGAAAAAACATTAATATTTTGCACCCCAGTACCACTAAATACTAATAATACTTTTATTATGAAAAGCAATTTGTAAAGTTATTAAAAGACATTGCAAATTATGTTTCATAACAAACTTGGTCGTAAATATATTTATAATAAGATAATTTCTAGATCCATCAAACTGGTAAATACAAGTAACCCTGGATAAGATAATTATAATAATAATAATATTTTCTCTTAGAAGCTATTTCATTATATGTGAGCGGGTGCTATTTTAGCACCTCAGCATTTCCACCCTTGCACTACACAAACTCACCGTAACAACCTTTGCTAAGTCTTTAATTAATTCAAACACAAAAGAAAATATATTAAAATTGACCCCCTTCAAAGGTTTGTCCAAACTGCCAATTAGCCGGCGCCACGTTGTAACTAGTGACAGTTCTGCCGTCACTGGTGGTGACTTGAAAAGAGAGGCTTTGTCCATTGAGATATGAGTTGCTCTGCCAATTTTGGCCCCAGTTTCTTGACATAGCTTGCCATCCAGTTTTAGACCCTTTGATTGAAACTGATCGAACGTCGCCGGCTCCACCAACGTTGGTGATCAAAACCAAGTTGAAGTAAGAGTGTCCATTGATCGTAAATCTTATTCCTCCTTTCTTCATGCAAGGCACCCTGCCAACATCAACAAAATTTCACAATTTTAGCATAGCGAGAATTTTTGAGAATCCAGAAATCCCCCAGCCTAGTTTCAAAACTGGAGCCCCCGCCTTACCCTGCAATCTTTGGAAAGCGGGAAAATGGAGCTACATGATCAAAATGTTTGTTCTTGTGCATACCTTCTAAATGACATAGGTACAATTCCAGCCCGGTATTGTGCAATTTTCAAGAAAGCTGGCTCAGCCATGTCGAAGTGTTGCAGAGGAGGATTGCACCACCCGCCACTGTCGTTAGGCAAGGCAAAGTTGGGTGGGCAAAAGTTTGTAGCAGTCACAATTATTGAACCAGGGAGACACCATTTTGGATCATTATCACACCTCAGCTCAAAACAACCCATTATTGAACAACGCTGCGCTTAGTGCTGCGGTGCTTGTTCCATATCCTTGACTGTATAAATTCCCATATCCACATGCTCCTCCTGCATATATATAATTTATTAATCAACCCAATATTTATTTATGATGCTAAAATGTTCACGGCATGATAGAACTAAGTAACATATGCTAACCCATTGTGCCGGATGCATCACCGCCGCCGTAGAAAGTGGCGTGACCTCTTTGCCAGCCTCCGTAGTCGGCGGCTGTGTGGTGGCAGTAGAGAATGAAGAGAAGAAAAGAGAGGCACAAGATTTGAGGTGCCATTGAATTTGGTTGATGTGTTAAGTGATGAAATTAGTTTGTGTGCGTTGTAAAATGGAGTAGAGGGTGTGTATTTTATAAGCAAATGAAGGAAAGAGTAAAGAAGAGGCCACGAATGGAATGGATTGAGGAAATCAAGAGTGCACAACTGCACATGCACTTGTTCTTGTTAGGGCTACCAACCGATAAACTAAGTGGGCCAAAGGATCTCTGCATCTCTTTCTCAACGGTTTGTTATAACTTACCTTAATTAAGAGTATATTCTTTGTTGTTACCTGTTTGGTTTTCATGCTTATTAATTTTTTGTTCTTCTTATTAATGTGTCACGATTATTTGTATTTTATTTATTGCTATCTTATGATATATATATATATATATATATATGATGAAGAGTTAATTGTATTATCCCATGAGGTTTAGGTTTACTAGTATGAGTTTTGCAATTTAAAATATTGGGATTTAAGAAACGGTAACAGTTTTTCATATTTTTTTTATTATATCGTTATTCAGTTAATACTTCACAATATCAAAATGAGGTGTATTCAGATTTATAAACGGAAAATACATCTCAATAAACAGATTATGTAAACATTTAACGTAAATTCTAGTATTTTAAAATATAGACCTGGACATATTTGACCGAAAACCTCATAGTGGATAAAGTCTTTTCTCTCAAGTCTCTACTTATGAAACAGAAAATTAATGTATATATAATATGGTTGTTTTAATTAAGAGTGATGCTATTTTGGATTGTTTTGAGATAAGTACGAGATAGAGTGTGAAATTGAGGTTTTGATCGGGAGGTTAGGTAGGGTCTCTCAAAAGATAATAAGAGCATCTTTGCACATGGAGGATAATCTTAATATGGTTGAGATCAAAGCCAAAGGCCTCCTGGTTTTCTTATTTACCAAATTTGGATAATTAAATTTTAGCTATTTTTTAATTTCTTGAGTTTGACATGCATGGATGTTCTTCATTAACAATAATGTCAAAACTTGACTCCTTAAAGAAACTATATTTGGTATCAACTAGGAAGTAGCCATCCATTCACAATCTCATCTTTCCCTACCTTGTTCGATATTTATTTATTTGTTACATAATAATGTTATCAAACCAGTATAAACTTATTTAGTGTTTTATTATTTTCTTAAAATATCTTGATAAAATTTATTATATGAATATTGTATTTTTCAAAACAAATTATACATTTTAAATAATAAATATAAACTTTTTTAATAAGCATTTTCATTTGAGGTATATTTGAAATAAATATTTCAACCCTTGTGAAATTTGATTTCTGATTTCACTCCTACATACTTTTATGTATTTAGTAATTTGTTACTTGTAAAGTTGTTGTTTATAGTTGAGAAATTTGGGGTAAAGTTAAGAAGATTCTAACATTGACGATTGAATGGTTGATTGAAGACGAGAGAGTAAGGTTACATGAAAAATATGAGGGTAACTTTCACATCCCCATCAGTTGAGAAATCTAATTTTGGCTATATATTATATTCAAAATTAAAATGTTATTTCCCCGGAAAATATGCAGAGATGGGCATCAATTGCAGACATCAATCCTGACATGTCTACTTTTTCTTGGACGTTGCTCACGTGGATGGCCCACATTTTTTAAATACTTTGATTGATGACGTGGATTTTTTGACCAACAGAAAACTGATGTAAATTTACATCTTCACCCTGGGAAGATAGTATTTATATGCAAGGTATTAATACCCAACCGGGGTGAAATCCGGCAGAGTAATCGGGTCCCAAGTTGGGCAGTTGAACCGGTCTGACTGGTGCTGACATCAACATGATTCAACCCTTAAAAATTAATAAATCTTAAAATAAAACAAACAATCTTTTCTAAAACTAGCTTCATCTTCCTATTCTTCCTCATTATCCGACTCCCTCACAATAAAATAAACAGCAGCCTACTACATTCAAATCGCAAAAACCAACAGCCTCCTCTCAAAAACCCAACAACCTTTTCCATTCAAATTCCAAAATCGACCCAAATCGCAAAAGCCCAACTACCTTCTCCATTCAAATCCCAAAATTGACCCAAATCGCAAAAACCCAGTAGCCTACTCCATTCAAATGAAAAAAACCATGCCAACAATCTCCCCCATTCAAATTTCAATATCAATCCAAATAGCAAAAACCAACAGCCTCCTTTTAAAAACCGAGCAACCTTCTCCATTCAAATCCCAAAATCGACCCAAATTGCAAAAACCCAACAACCTATTCCATTCAAATAAAAAAAAAACCCAGTAGTCTCCTCCATTCAAATTGCAAAATTGATCCAAATAGCAAAAACCAATAACCTTCTCTCCAAAACCTAGCAAAATTCTCCATTCAAATCCCAAATCGACCCAAATTGCAAAAACCCAACATCCTACTCCATTCAAATAAAAAATCTAGCAATCTCCTCCATTCAAATCGCAAAATCGATCCAAATAGCAAAACCCAACAGCCTCCTCTCAAAAACCTAGCAATCTTCTCCATTCAAATCCCAAAATCGACCCAAAACGCAAAAACCCAGTAGCCTACTCCATTCAATCAAAAAAACGCAGCAATCTCCTCCATTAAAATTGCAAAATCCATCCAAATCGCAAAAATGTAGCCTCCTCTCAAAAACCTAGCAACCTCTTCCATTCAAATCATAAAATTAACCCAAATAACAAAAACCAGCCTACTCCATTAACAAAAAAAATAGCTTGAAGTGAAAATATGAAGAAGTGGAGAGGTGAAATGAAGAAATCGACAATGGAAGAGAGAAAATATGGGTTAGGGGCCTGATAGAGAATGAAAAAATCAAAAAAAAAAAAAAAATCCACTTTTAGGAGTTGAAAACTGGGTTTTCCCCAAAAACCAGTTGGACCGGCAAGTTGCTATAGTAATCCAGGTCCAACTGCAGGTCAAACTGGGTGAATTGATATCTCTAGTTTTTAGGCCTGCCCAACCCGGCTCAATGGTCGGTTCCCAGTCGGACCAATTAAACCGGTCAGGCCGAGCTGGGTTTTAAAACATTGTTTATGTTAGATCTTAGTTAAATACAAAATTTGAAGTAATATCATTTATGTATATATGATACATTTGCATCGTTTTCAATTGCAATATCTCTTACCTATCTCATTTAGTAGGTTTTGTTTTGGACTCAACTTTTTTAGTGAAGCTTAGAGCAAATCCCCCTTAACTCAAACCTTGGATATCACAAGTTAGGAGTACATTTATCTACATGATGATTGAAAGTTTATAAATCTCACTAAATGAAGTTGGTATAGATAATACGTGATGATCGTAATTCTCTAAATCTCACTAAAGAAGTGGACATAAAATGTTACAATATTATCATATCCTCTTAAATATTTAAAATTTTGAATTTATGTTTTGCTTTCTTCTATTTCAATCACATCAAGACTCATCAATTTATATAAATTAGTTTATATAAAAATAAGTTAATGGACGTAGTACTCTTATACTTAATTGTATCATTGGCAAGAATACATATGTGATGTTTAACCACCACTGGGTGGCCAAGTAATCAATTAGGATTTGTGGATGTATTACTCAAGAGGTCTTGAGTTCGATTTATCTCGACCCTTAAGAGGTGGCCACTGGAGCTTTTACTTGACTGATAGTTTCTAGGTCTCAAATGATTAGTTGAGGTGTGTGTAAGCTGACTTAAATACCCTTAATAATAATTATAAAAAAAAAAAAAAGTAGATAATTCTACAAGTTATTCAAAATGATAAAGAATGTTTAACTCAAAAGTTTTATGTTCTTTTTATTGTCTTGGAATATTTTTATTAAATGAACCTATAACTATTTTATTTCTCAATTAATAAAACTCGTGTAGTTTTTATCTATATAATTATCTGAACTTATATATTTATAGATATTATAATGTATTTTAAGTTTAGAGTCTTTAGTATGATATAATAATATTATTATTCATTAAATAATATTACACATGAAATTCTCATAGAAAGATGGTTTAACAAATTTGTTTGCTTTACTTTTATTTATTTTTTATTTGATTTTATACGCTATTTACAAACTAAGACATATCTCTGCCCGATATTTTCTTTTTTGGCTTCCTCTTTTGTATGTAATTAATTTGTTTCCATTTTTTTCTTATTAATTAAAATATAATTATAACGAGCCTTAATTTAATGCGTTATTTTTAGAAAATTATCACCTTCAAAATTGTACCTCTTTATGATTAGTTCGATGTACGTAGTACTATTCTACCAAACGTTAAAGTACTTTTAAGTAGGATTTTTAATGCATTTTAATTTCTTGTTTCCAAAAATATTAACTTTCCAATCAGTATAACTAGCAAGATAATTATTAAGGTTTGAAAGTATTATAGGGTGGGTTGCTTATTATTTCTACCCATATTTTCAATCATATTCTCTAAATATTGTTAGGTATATTATTCCAGAAATATTAGTCTATTTTTTTAATTACTTTTAGACCCCATAAGTTTATTAATTTCATTAAATACCCTCAGAAAAAAAAGTTTAAAAATTAACAAAAACACCCCCACCCACCAATACTTGCTAGATTCCAGAAACCACCACCGGTGGTAGCCGGAATCTCTCACAATAGTCACACCACCACCGAAAATAGTCGGTAATGGCCAGATCTGGCCGTTAGCCACGACCAAAGAAATGGCCATCGTTGACGGTCAACGACAGCCAAATCTTGTCCATCATTGACAGACAACGATGGCCATATCTTTGGCCATCGCTGACGGCCAAAAATGGCCTTTCCCGATCGTTGACGGCCTTTTCTGGCTAGATCCGCAGTGGATATGGCCGGAAAAGGCTATATCGATCGAATACCCACTAGATCCGACCGGGTATGTGTGGTTATCCAATTTTCCGGCCAGATTCCGACGGCAGTGGCCGGAATCTGGCACTGCGGGTGGTAGGGGTGTTTTTGTCATTTTATAATATTTTAATATATTGGGGTGTTTATTAAATTAGCAAACC